AATGCTGGTTTGTTGAAAATAATACTCGATTGCTTGACAACTGCCATTTCTGTGATGTTTGCTTTAATACTGCCGTAAAAAACTTTCCATGTCCCGAATTGTATTAGAATAAGTTATTTCTTTGCTTCAGGGCTTTCCAGTTTGCTTACAGGTGTTCATTCACATTTAATTTTTTTCTACTAGTTAGCTTAATCCAAATAAATCTTTTCTCTAAATACTTTCATTGACTACTTGACTACAAACTATAAACAAATGCATTTGATTTTTTTAGGTATTAGTTCTCTTGAATGAAATTGGGCTACGTGCTTGTTGCCGAATATTATTGAGGAAGTTTTTTTTTAATTAAAAGTTACTTGAAATTGTTTTGGATGATAACTAACAATAATTTAATTACTGGGCTACCGGGTCAGGACGGGTCACTGAGTAAAGCTGGGTCAGGATGGGTCACTGGGTCAAGCTGGGTCACCGGGTCAAGCTGGGTCACCGGGTCAAACTGGGTCAAGCTGGGTCACCGGGTCAAGCTGGGTCACTGGGTCAAGCTGGGTCACCGGGTCAAGCTGGGTCACGGGTCAAAGCTGGGTCACCGGGTCAAGCTGGGTCACCGGGTCAAACTGGGTCACCGGGTCAACTGGGTCACCGGGTCACTGGGTCACTGGGTCAGTAAACTAACTGGGTCACCGGGTCACTGGGTCACTCTATGCTTGACCCAGTCCAACTCTGCCTCTAACGCACCCCAATCCTCTTTATTCATTTCAATTTTTAAATTTTCCGCCTTTTGTCAATATTGCATCCGTGCACACAGAGATGGTGTTTCATTCTCTTTTTCTGTCAATTTTCCAAAACTTTTCCTCAATTAGCAATCAGTGCATTTCAATGACTTGATCTATGTACATCATGACCTGGTAATTTATACGTCTGGGGTTAATTGAATTGGAATTTCGAGAGTTTAATTATGACGTTATCTATTTAATTTTAGATCAAATTGATATGTTACCAGAAATTTTAATGTCTTTTTAAAAAAGTTTTTTCGATGTATATGTTCACCAAGAAATGAAGGCGACCACCATTTTGTTCTCGACGTGTTTAGTGCCTATCTTTTTGTTTAATTTTATTTTGCTAATCGTTAACCTTTTCCCAGTGGTCCCACTGAGGAAGGACAGCAAAGTGCGTCCGATATATTTGGATTACCAAATAAAAATACTAAACGAAGTCTGACTTTTGAGCTCACTCACCCTACAAACCTTCACTTCAACACCACCCAAGGCCGAAGGAAAAAACCTTTTAATTAGTTTATAAACATTGTTACAACAGACTGTTACTAGTCAGGAAAAATAATCCAAAATCCTTATCGATTACTTCCTATTTTTGAGAAGAGCTTAGACTAGAATCGATACTAGGATGCATACCTACAAGTTTTAATTGTCTACTTGCCAAGTACTTCGGCATTGTCGTCTGCACGCATTCCGCCAGATTTCTTTGAAATCGCCAAGTATGTTAAGACGTTTGCTTCGTTACCTTAGCACTCAGTTAGTTGGCTCGATGTATGTGGAAAAATAAAGGACAGATATTTACTTTATTTTCTTATTTAGATTCATTGGTAAGCAAAGAAAGCTAACATTTAAGTGAGACTCGTTTGCTACGTGTAGCCAATGACACTTGCGTATTTATTTTTTTTAACACCATAACCGTTCTACAGCAGGAATAGGTAAAGATGATATTTTATTTGCAACTCGTAATCGTATCCATTAAAATGTGCTTGACTGAACTTTGCAAGTGGAGCGTACACTTTCTATCTATACCCTTCCGTACCCCACCAAACAGCATGGAATAAAAATTTAGTCAATTGTAAGTATACAATATCGCTTTACTTTTTTATGGGGACTCATTTAATTAGAAACGTGTCGATGGGATAGTAACTGCTAGTAAACGAAACGTACCAAAAAAAATATTATATGGCCAACGTAAAATCGTTTAGTATCAACCCTCAAGTAAAACACAAATACTAAATACAGAATACATGTTAGTGTATTAAAGAATGAAACGGCACCATTTTTATGAACTTTAAATTGGTCTTAAAAGCATGGTATCGATTTAGCTTTTAGTTGTGAAACAACAGTGAGGACGCCTGCCTTTTAGAACTAACGAAGGTTGGAATTTCTGTGGCAGAATGTAGGTTATCAAGATTACTTGACTGGAATACTGTTGCGAAACTGTAACACAAACATATTAGAGAGAGAGGATGTCTTCCACTAATTTACTTTCTTTAGTGAAGTGTTTAAAATCATCACAAAGCGCCATTAACGTGTCAGACCTTCATAAACGCGAACTGCTATATTTCTTAACGACTAGGTACATCCATAAAGAGGAAGGGACTACTCTGTATATAAAAACCCTGTACGCTAGGTTTGTGTAATTGAACTATCCCAGAACAAAAAAAAAGGTCAAAGCGAAAGTCGTAGAGAGAAATTGTCAACAGCTTCCGTCCGCGTTTACGGCCGGCACTTATTCAGAAATATGGCACAAAGGCAATTCCATATTTCGGCATTTTTTTACATTACTATGATTTGTTTTGACAAAGACTTTCTTATCTTGAAACACAGAATCGCCTTTTACGGAAAATTTAGGTGAGTTTCGCAGCGAGTTAATAAAAATTGACCGAGGGGCTCAAATACGCGGTATACTTAGATTTAAATGTAAATTAACGACTATTTGCTACTTAATCGACTATAATTTTGTTACGTTCAATTTGTTCGCGGTGTTTAAAATTTGCATTCTGTAGTTCAAGGATGAGAACTAAACTTTTAATTGTAAATTGCTTTGACTTTATCTATTTTTGGTTTTACTACAATTTATGTTTTTCTGCAAAGACCAAGTAGTATATTGATTGTGCTCCTGTGCTGACTATTGGTGGTCCGTAATGCAAGACGTTACCGTACATTTTTTAAAGTTAAAGGTGGTAGAGATCAACTTACATAACTGCAAGACGCAGAACAAAGGACACCTACCAACTCTGCGAAAATGGCGTAAAATTTAAACCAAATTTGAAATATTTTTCACAAGGTAGATTTTTGTATTAAATTTAATCAGCTTTATGCAAATTTCAATCTTTAAAATATCTCTTGAACAAAGTTAGATAATTATTCTCACAGTTGAGAAACATTTGAACAGCGTTCCCGGAAGAAGCCGTAAAGCTTAATACAAACTGAACTGGAATATTTTGCGGAATTGTATAATGTAGGTACTTAAATATTTGGCAAGTTAAATGCCCTTCACACTACCCTGACATTACTCTCATCTCAGTTTTCTAATTTTGGTGGATAAGGGAATAAGAATAAGTCCCCATTATCTGCAGAATTGCATGCTGATTAATTTCCCCTTTCAAAGTTTCCTAAAACTGCGAATGGCGAAGTAATGGCCGAAAAACCGCAAAATGTTATTTTCAAAAATGCGCTGGTGTTCATTTATTTTCAAAGATATCAAAAAATGAGTGACTGTCTAGTCGCCTTTGGAAGTTAATACGATTTCCCGTGTAAACAAAAATTCCAAAGGTGACTCGATGGGTACTCATTTTTGACCGCTATACATATACAGTGTGTAAAGCGATGGGATATACAAGAGGGAATTTTTTTTTAAATATTGATTTATCAAAAAAATTTATTCTTCATGATATTTTTTGCTTGCTTTGGAAGTACCAATAACGTTTCGATAATCTAAAATTTATTTATAGAAATCTGGAAAAATAATAAAATTAATTTTATTTATTGAAAGTTATAATTCTACATTATAATCAAGATAGCGTATTGCTATCAAACCACAAACAATCGAAACGTTATTGGTACTTTCAAAGCAAGCAAAAAATATCATGAAGAATAAATTTTTGTCATAGATCAATATTTAAAAAAAAATTCCCTCTTGTATACCCCATCGCTTTACACACTGTATATTATACGTACACGCATTTTGGGTTAATTTTTATGTTATATACATATAATGTACTGTACATAATCAACCGTGTGATGTATCGAAAACGTCGAACTTAACGTGCATCTGCCAAAAAACCTCATTTTGCGTTATTTAAACGACGTTTCTGACAGATAACCTGCACGTTAAGTTTAACATTAGTGATACATAACAGGACAGCCGGCAGATTATTAGTGTACAACTACAACTACAATTAAATAAGACTCATCAATTATGTGCCAATTTGTAACAAAAACCAGATTTCCTGATCACTTTGAATAAGTTAGATACAGGGTGTGCCGCTTGCTATTCCCACAACTTTAAACGAAAATTACGTTATACTTATGCGCATTCAAAATTAAGAAATTCTGCGTCAATTTTCCACAGAAAACAAAAAGAAAATGTACCCCAGTGCGGAAGTTTAATGTTAAACGAAATTGGGGATAACACTACGGGATAGAAATTGATGCGTGGATCCCTTTGGATAATGGAACGACACGCCCTATGTATATGCATTCTTTTTGTGAACTTCTGCTTTCGTTGTGTTGCCAGCATATGATGGAATGTAAGACCAATTGCCACCAAGAGATGAAGGACTGTTTATTGCACTATTAATTTGGAAGGGCTTGTGGAGTTGTTTCTCAGTTCGACTGGGGTTCTTATAAACAGTTTTCGTTGCACTCAGTTCAAACTCAAATCAAAAAGTGACAGACGCTCGAATAAATGCCATTGAGTTCAATTCTGTTCGTGAACAAGTATTTAATGACATTTACCTTTTTCTCAAATGTTACAGTCAGGCTTTATTTGCCTAATTAAGTTTATACAGAAGAGGTTGAATCTGATGCAAGGTTTACGTAAAATCTCCATCAAGCATATTCGGGATCATTAACGTTAATTTATTAAAACCATTAAAACTTATTCAATGTTAAAACGTACTATCGACAAAGAAGTAAGTTCCTCCATCATAAATAATTCATCCATCTCGAGTAGTCCACAAAGAGTGTAGACAATTTGGGCCACATCTACATTTCTAAAGCCGACAAGAAAATATTTATTTAGTTCGTAGTACAAAAAACATTCGAAAATTACACTTTCAAGTCCAGGTGAATTATGTTTGATTGTGGTGTATTTTCAGTAAAGCTTCCTCGATATCATTAAAATCTGAGTCAACTTCTCTCATATAAACCTGTGGGCTGTTTACACCAACATCATGAAAGGAGTCGTTTTGTAAGTGGTAAGCGTAATGATATCTGTTCGGAAAAGTGCCTTCATCGTCTAGGTCTACTTGGTGGGACTTGTTACTGTATTTACGTCGGTGGTGCTTCTTCGAACAATACTCAGAGTGGTGATTCCCGTGCTTTTTGTGTCTGTGTTGCTCGCTATCGCTGTTCAACATTTCTTCACCTTTCATATAATCCTCGCGTACACTTCGTTTAATACTGCTGATACTTGCTTTGACATTATTGTATTCTGCTTGGCATAATCGCTCCACTTCCTGGATGTACTCCTTGTATCGTGCAGGGGAAAGGCGCATTGGGGGATCCGGAGTAATCGGATTGAAGTTATTCAGACCTTTCTGTTGCAACCACGGGGGCTGATCTTTCCATAATGGACTCGAAACATTATTTTGAGGAGACATTGAAAGGTATTCAGCGGATTCTGGGTTCTGTTGAACAATTTTACCGTAAATTTCTAAATCATATTAATTTATTTGCCTCCTTACCATACTAGATTTAGCCAGAAAACAATCGACCCCCATCCTTTCCTTGGCCAGCAGTTCTTTTTCCACTGCCAATTTAATTTTGAGGCCTTCCAAAATATTGCCCATCCTTTTTATTTTAGATACAACAGATTCGTTGTCGTCCTTCTCCGAATTTGAAGTATTCTCTTGTGTAAACGATTGATTTGATGAAGATGGTCGTGATGGTCCAGCGATTTGCTCATGATTCTTTGAGTTTATCCACGAAAACATTTTGAGTGAATTGTCCAAAACTTTACGTCAAAAAATACTTAAGACCGTCAAACGTAGCGCTTGCTTTCTATTTTTCAAATTTCTGTCTAGGTTATAAAAAATCATTGGCGGTAAAATTTCGACTGTCTGCGGAATAAATTACATTTTTTAGATTAACTGTAAATTACGACCTGCTCTAATTTTCAAATTGAAGGTACTGGCGCTTCAATTTATAAGCACAATACAAATTTTAGTGAGAAAAACAAAAATGCAGAAATTTCCGTTAGTTTTTTAGAGATCAGTGTCGTGAAAAGTACCTATTACCCATAAAACGCTTATGTGAGGCTTCCAAGTTTGCTACTTGCCCAGCATGACTCCAGTACTCCAACTCCTGCATGCCCTATCGTAGTTTCCGAAGACTAAATCTTGTTCGCTTCGTAAAGGACACTGTTTGCTTTTATCCCTCGAGTTAGACACCATTCCTGCACTGTGGGGAGGGCATACTGCATTAGGTCACACAGAGTGCCTGCATGTTTGCCCTTCACAACACGTCCTCTGAACATGTTATGCTGTCAAAGCCTAGATCGGCTAGGAGGTTTACCAGTCTGTCCATGTCTAGCGAGTAGAGTAGAGGGGACAACCTCTGCTCGCGGCTGCATTTTTTAGTGGTGGGTACAGTGTATGACTTTTGAAACTGTTATCTGAGTGAAATAAAAAGTCCTTTTAGGTCGCTTTCTGTAAATGCAGAACATTTCTTTGGCTTGTATCTATCCTTTGGTTAAAGTTTTCCCAAACGCGCGTAATTTAGGATATGCTTCCAAATCTGTTCCACTTTTTAATCGCAGCATTGTTTGAAGTTTTGAATGAATGCACCAAAAGATAGAAGATTTAAATATCTTTGACATTTCCTTCATATATGCTAGCATTATGGATGCATTTAAGACTTTATTCGTAAGTAACTTCCTATTCATCTGACAAATCCATGGGTTACCATTTCACCAACTTTATCTTAGCAACTCTGTATAAAGAAATCTTAGTATCCACAAAGGAAAGTATACTTATAGGTACATAATTTTTTTGGTTTTGAATTATGGTCAATAAATAGTTAATTGGCCGTTTAGTTTTTATTTTATTGACAAGCAACAACAAAAATCAAGAATTTTCTAGTCATATTATCAGAGCGCAGGAGAAGTTTACATTATGTATTCACCTAAAATTTAAAAATGTGGTAAAGGATAAGCTAGCCGACGACATACAATAATTTTATTTCTGTCCAGATTTTACTCAGAATTTCGAATCTTGTTTAACGAAGGGAATTCCAACCCTTTATTGCAAAAAAGACTGCTGCACGCTTATTTCACTTTGGGTTCAAAGAAGTTGCAAATTTGGAACAAAACTAAAATAGTTACAAGGTTAAAGAGGGTCCTAAATAAATTTGCACCACCGTGTATGTTGCTTTCACCATGAAAGAAACAAATTCAATTACAATTTCCGTTTTTATATTCTAGAAAAATTCTACTTACGTTTTCTTCATAACTTGTGGTTTGCTATCGTTTATTGCTAATCGTATAATGTCTGTTTCACAAACGGCTGTTAAGATATTAGAATGTTAGATCCCTTTTGATATTACGTAACGTGTTTACCGTTATAATGATTCATTAAACTTAACCACCATTTGTGAAAATAATACATTTAATAAGGGTGCTTAATTTGTAAGTTGTTGTGAACGTTTACGACTCAAAGATGACAACAATGAAAAGATGAAATTATAAAGTGTATTAAAGAAATAAAATCATAAGCTTTACAGTAAGAGGTAATTTTTACATTAAAAGTTCCGGAAACGTATTTTGCTTGGATAAGTGTCGTTCTTTGTGTTACAATTATCAAAGTAGGTACTCTTCTTATATAAACCATACCGGAAGTTATTTAAATCCAATCCATATCAAAATCCATATCAACAGAGACAGCTTAACCCACATTGAATTAAGATTTCATGGTGAAGTATCTGTTGTAGTGAGAAAGCTTGCGAATTGCGTACTTTCTAACACATCTCTATATAAAATACATGACAGCTTGCTTCAATTTTTCACTGCTATAACCATGATGCTCCTGAAAACTGAGTATCACAACTGCTACGAATAGATCTTTACTACAATGCGAGTACGTCGAAAGTCAGTGCTAAATGCGACGAACTTTTCAGCGATGTTTGTGAAAAGATTTATCCTATCTTTAAAAAGGTTAACCCCCTTCATTCAATTCATTATTCCGAATTACACGTGCGTGTAAAATGTAAATGAAGATAAATATAGGGGGGTAGATTCCAAAGAGAGATGCGCTAGGTAACTGGCATATGCAAATTAAATCTCCACTATTATCCTACACAGTAAATTTAATGTTACCGCAATTATTCTCGCTAACGGCATCTGTACGTTTGGGCAATGCCAATATATCATTTCGCTAGGCTTCTAACCCACATTAGCGTGCACAAATGCACCACTGTAATGATATTGTTGATCACGTGTGCCCCTAAGTTAGCGTGTTCTAATGCAAATAGGTTTTTTGCAAGATTGTGATTGCGTTTAAGCAATTTGTAAAGTAATTTTAACACCAATTTATGCATATCAGTTCAAAAGAGATATAAAGGGTAATGTGAGGAAGATGCTAATGGGAATGAGTTTTATTTGAATTTTTGAAGTTAACCTCCGTCCCGTTGCTTCCTGAAGTAAAATAATGTCACTCCCTTTCATTACATGGGTTGAGTTACTTCAAATACGGCAGAGTATACTGTATACAAATCTCCACCAAAAGTCGTAGTTTATCATTTTGTAAAGCGTGGTAGATGTAGATAAGGTTTAAGAGAATTACTTACAATGCTTGCTCCCTGTAGCATGTTTCAAAACGCAAGAGAACTTATACTAAAATTCAAATAAGGATCAAGCGAAGAGAAAGATAGGGAAGGTTTAGTCTTAATTTTTATTGCCTGTCCCGCCTGAGACCTCGGATTGGAACAAAAACAAATTGATGTAATAAATAATTTGCAAATTGTTTGTTTCTGTACACTACTAGAAACAAAAAATTCCATTAAGGTTTGCGAGATCTCTCAATTACAAAAAGATAATAATTAATTGTTTGGTGTTATTTTTCTTTTTTTTTTACACATACAGCTGCGGTAAATGATTTGTGATGAAAAGATGAATTTTGTGATAAATTACGTCAAATAAAAATGACCGGTAATGGTTTTAGGACTTGCTGCGGCTGTTTGTGCTGATGGGGCAATAGGGGACGACGTAGACGGGAGGGTAGAAAAAGAGAACAGAAATCAGGATTGAAGAACTATTATAAAATGTAGGGGCGAAGAAGTAAGAGTAGCATATGAAACAGTTACAGAGGGAACGAAGAAGATGACAAGAATGGGATGGATCTGGTTGTGGTGGTTAAGAAACGCGTGGGTTGATGGTCACCACAATAAGTATACACATAGAATGATCATGGTGTTGAAGGATGGGTGACTCACAAAATGGTATACATTTTTGTAGCTGTATTGATATCAAATGCGAGTAGATCCCAAATAACCTGGATAGAAATTACAAAACCATTCCGCGCCTCAAACCCGCACAACAGTCAATAATTGAATGATCCCCTGAAAACAAAAAAAGACGATCACATAATCAAGTACAAACATCTGAAGAAAAATTAAAAAGTAAGGGACGCTAAGCGGAAGTACAAGAGACAGGAAAGACATAGAAGGCGGGACATCAGATACAACAGATAAGCGAGAGATGATGCTGTAAATAAAGCTCAAAGGTCCGCCACAGACCGCAGAAAGCAGGGTGAATGACAAATGTGCATTAGATTTCAGGGGGTACAAAAAGATAGATAAAGTAGGAAAGTGGAGAGATTTGTGTAATGGATATAAATAATAACGACATAATTTACAAAATAAAAAGAATTCGGAAGAATAGCGCGCCATTGGCATAAAGGCATCCACAAAACTCCAAGAACATCCTTAATAATAAAACCAAATTTCAACGATAACCCAAAATAAAAACAAATGAAGACTTCTTTATGCATGGGCTAGGGATATTGAAGGCCCCAAAATACAAAATTCTGCGATTAAAGAGGGAAAAGTATTTTGTTATTTACTGCCATTTATTTTGTTACATCCTTGGAGATCTTCACTCACTACAGAAGGGCCTTACACTCATAAAGACTCTACAGGGTGGCAAGATTTGGTCGTTAGTATGGACTAACTCTTAAACTATAAGTTGTATTCTTTTAAAGATAAACCCATGTTAAAAAACAAACTGGGTTTCAAAGCGATCATCAATTTTTCATTTTCAGTACAAAGCTGTATTTTTTCAAATATAAAGCGCAGATGCATTTACTAAATAGTATATTAAGATACAAGTGTATAATCAAGTCTTTAAAGCACGCGCAACGAGCTTAATGGCACGCCGCGAAGCGGAGTGCCTTTAACGTTGCAAGTGCTTTAAAGACCAATTACGTGTATCTTATAGTATTTTTTATTATACCTGCAGTATAATTTAAAAATAGGAAATACAATGAAATCATATTGACGTTATACTCGAATACATGTCCAATTAAGTGGGCTGGGTGTTCGTAATTTCACGATTGCCATGGAAACGTCACTTGACGTTTGCTTATAAAAATCATCGTCTTTGTGAATGAAACAATTTCCTTTGAAAAAGATAATACACCGTCCATTAAATCGCTTGTTGTCAAATCTAAACAAACGTTGGTAGGTGTAAAATCCAAATCCAGTAAAGCCTATTATAGAGAATATGAAAAGTTGTTTCCACGGATGAAAAGGAAGTTACTTAAGAATAAAGTCTTAAATGCATCGATAATGCTGAGATATATGAAGGAAATGTCAAAGGTATTTAAATCTCCTATCTTTTGGTGCATTAACTAAAAACTTCAAACAATGCTGCGATTAAACAGATTTGGAAGCTACCTTAAATTACGCGCGTTTGTGAAAGCTTCAACCAAAGGATAGGTACAAGCCAAGAAATGCTCTGCATTTACAGAAAGCGACCTAAGAGGATTTTTTATTTCACCCAGATGC